ACCAGCGAACTAGCATCTACGGGGCAAATAAATTTGGCGGCACCGTCGACTGGGCACTCGACCTCGCCGTGGACCTCGACGGATCTCTGAATACAGGCTCGTCGGGCAACGGCGGCTACGGCACGTCGCCCTCGAGTGCCACCATTGGGAGCATCCCGGGTTGCACGGTCCCTGCGCCAGGGGCAACCTTTACCATCGATGCCGACTGCGCCGCTGGCATCGCCAACTACCCGCCAAGCGGTCGAAACAACGACTCTCCGGGCCCGGACTCCTGCGACGAGGAGTGCAACCTCTGGCAGCGGATAACGGCCACATGCTGCGGAATTGGAGGCGATCTCGCTAACCCGGTCGTCATCCTCCCCAACGTGCAAATCCCGAACTCGGTCGTCCTCCCGCCGGGCTACTCGCCCGCCGCCCCCCTCGTTATCCCGCAACGCACCGTTCCCGCCGGCATCCCAATCCCCTACCCCCTCGTGATCCCCGCAGGCACCAACCTCCCCGACTTGCGCATACCCGCCATCATCCTGCCACTCAACCAACCACTCGACGCCCCCGTCACCATCCACCGCGGTCAAGTGCCCCTCTTCGACGTCACCATCGCCGGCACAACATACCTCAGGACGTGCCAATCCCCGCCGACATAATCCTCCCCATCGGCTTCACCCCCACTACCCCCTTCCAGTTCGGCCCCGTCATCCTCCCCGCCGGACCAACCCCGACCGAGATCATCCTCCCCGCCGGCTTCGTGCCCATCCTCCCCTTCATCCTCCCGCCCATAACCCTCACCCCCGGCACCACGCTCATCTACCCCGTCATCATCCCCCCGCTGTTCACCTTCCCACCCCCACCCGCACCACCGCTCATCGTTCCCCCTCCCGTCCCACTCCGCCCCGTCCCGCCCCCACCGCCAACCGGCCCCCCCCCCCCCACCGCCCGTCTTCCCCCTCCCCATCACGGAGTGCGCCTACTTCCCGCCGTGGGCGTCGGTGATTCCGAACTTCCCGGGGCCGGGCACGCCGACGCAGACACAAACAGACCCGGACCCGACGCCAACGCCGACGCAGACGCCGACGCATCCGTACCCGGAGCTGTGCGGGCAGATCCCCGTCGAGGAGCTCGCGGGGTACACGTGCTTTGAGCAGTGTGGGGGGAACGGGAATGCTTTCACGCCGTGCCCGCCGTGGTGTTGTGATCATGGGTGTGAGGGGTTTGCGGGTTGCTGATTGGGCTGTTGTGGGGAGGAGATTTTACTGCATGTGCCTGTTAGTGGAAAGTGATAGCGAAGCAGAGCAATCAGAATTTGGCAGTCCCGACCATGGCACCTCTATTCCGGGTTGGTGGCGGGTGGGCGGTGGGAATTTGGATATCGAAAGTGGGTGTTTGCGCGGACTAGATTCCCGGGGTGATGTTTCCGTTGCTGTTACTGTTATTGCTATTCTTCCCTCCTTACTCGCTGTGTAACTTGGGTCATGTGTATTAAATATACTTTGTTTCGGAAGCAAGATGAAGACATCGCTGCATAATACCTGGCGGCACGCTTGGAACGGGGCAACTTCGTAAGATTAGAGCCTGAGACGGCCAAAAGCAACTGCATCAACTTCGTCGGATGTAAGTGGTGATCACCAAGAGTCCGGTCTTGTTTTTTGTTTTCCGGGACGCGGCACTCCCTCGTGCTCCTCTGCCAAACCCGGCTTGCCAAGGGCCATCACACAGCGATCCAGCTCGGCCGTCTGGAGAGATCGGGAAAGGGCCTAAAATAACTAACATTCTTTAATCAATGCCACAGTAATGAAGCCTGATTAGATATTTCTAGAACCAAAACTTTGCGGGCTGGTCAACGCCCAAAGTGTCGGCAAAGGGTCGAGTTGGCGAGCATCACCTAATCGAAAAATGATGCGGCAAGAATGAAATGGATCAGATCAAGATAAGAAACCCGAGAAGGCCAATCGCTTGCGTGCGCAGTCCATACGAACAGTGTCTGGGATTTGGGGCCAAGACGGGCCGGACTCAACCGTCAGCCACCACCATAAGGAAAGTTATCGATTGCCCATTTTGCACTTCGTCGCAGCTTATTCTGGGATGGGTTGAAACAAAAAGGGGGTCTGGAAGGCCTGGCCGTTTGGCGAGCTTCTGACTGAGAGAGATGGGGTGCATTTCCAGTGGCTTTGATTGGCAGATCATTTCGTCTCAACTCAAGCGGAATGCGCCCGCTTCTTCTTTCCATCTCTCCGGGGTGTTCCTCGGCTGCGACTTCCTTTCATGCGCCAAATCAGACGCTCCCGCACTTTCTCAACGGGCCAGCCACCCCCAGTTTTTTCTCGCCTGAGGAGGCCATTGCAACCAAAAAAAAATCATTCCGAGCAATGGTTTCAATGGTTTCAGCGGGACAGAGGCGCTAGGCTCTCTCGACCAGGTAGGTTATTTTCTTCATGTCGCAGTTGTCGCCCGAATTAGGCAGTTCGTTTCGAACCCATCCAGAGCCAAAAGTGCATGGATCCTCACCCTCGAGCCCTCCTCTGCTTGGGGTTATCTGTCGCAACAACACGCCTGACCCTCTTTCCGGGGATGCTCCCTCCCGAAGGCGCAGGGCTTCCCCTTACCACAGGAGAGATAAACAAGTGGGTAACCGACGTCAAGCTGGACTCCAGCTGCTGGAGACAAATTCCGTTCTGTAAATACAGTTCACTCTTTCACAGGCAAAATGAATGACGTCTTCGTAACCATCTCAACTCGGTGACTTTATTGCGACATTATTGCGACAACCATACCACCAAAAAAGCTTGTTCCGCTTCGCAAACGATGCCCAGGCAAATTAGCAAATTTAAGAGAGCCGCATCTCTTGGCCTGTCTCTCGACGCCGGCCCTCCCCAGACTCGGCCTCGAGCCTGGCCGCCCACGCACCGCCAAGCTGGCCAAGCTTCTCGCTGCTGCACCACATAAGGCTTGGCTGTCGCAACTCATCCACCCCTTTCTTGGCTGGAGGATGCAACCGAAAATGTGGTCTGATAATGACGAGTTCTGGCCCCTCTTGGTAGGGAAAAGTGAGAAAGAGACTCCGTACCCCTTGTAATAGCGGCGGCAATTACGACGGCAGCAGACTTTTTCCCCGGAAAGAAGGCGAATAACTGCCAGTCGAGATGAGTGCGAGGTAGTGGCCCTCCCCAGGCCCCAGACACGGGGTCACCCCAGTGGCCTGTCGACACCACCGGGCTGGTCGTGCCCACGGCGCATACAAAGATCAGCCTCCTCCCGCTCGGCTCGTTAGCTAATGGATTCATGGGTCGTACGGTTTTCTTCTTTTCTCGTCTTTTCTTGGCTCGGTTGAAGGTCTGGGACCCTCTTCGTTTCTGCTATACCTTATTTTATTGTTTTGAGTCTTGAGTAATCCCCTGCACCATATTCCCTTCTTGGATCTCTGTGTTCTTTTGGTTTCTATTCCTTCAACATGGGTTTGGCACTCAGAGCTTTTCTCCTGGCGGCATCGGCGACGCGGGTCTTCGCATCATGCGCCCACGGAACATTCCTCCGGCCGCGCGCCGAGGGCGGGACCGTTGAGGTTGCCAAGTTTGGATATACCGGGGCTGTTGTATGGACTTCCCCCCTGGCTTCCCACGGCGGAAACTTCCGACTAACAGAGACGCCAGGGACCGCTCAACTGGGCAGCACTCGAGTCTCCGGCCAACGGCGTGTGCGCCACCGGCACCAACCAGTCCCCCATCGACATGGTCGACGGCGTGTTCAGCCTCCTTCAGGGGTCTGACGTCCAGCTGACGATCAACGACATGCCCGATGGCGCCGAGTTCGAGAACCTGGGTACCACAGTCGAGGTGATCACTCAGGGTGGCTCGCTGGCCGTCGCCGACAAGACATTCGAACTCCAACAATTTCATTTCCATCTGCCCAGCGAGCACCTGGACAACGGCACAAGCCAAGCGAGTACGTTATCCATCCTTTCCTCTGAAGGCTGTTTTGCAAGTCGATACTAACCCCGTTCCAGTGGAGATGCACATGGTCTTCCAGTCCGCCGCCCAAGAAATCGCTGTCATCGGCACCTACATCAACATCGCCGACGGCGGCGCGGCCCCCGCCCCCGCCGCCAAACGCTCGCGCATCTTCGGCCGCCAGGAAGCGACCCCTCCCGCCGTCGCCGCCACCACCCTCCTCGAGACCATCTTCTCGGTCGTCGACCAGATCGCCGTGCCCGGCACCAAGGTCACCACCCCGCCGCTCGTCATGTCCGAGGTCGTCGACGTCCTCAAGGCCAACGCCTTCCAGATCTACGCCGGCTCCCTCACCACCCCGCCCTGCAGCGAGGGCGTCAGCTGGCATGTTTCCACCGCTCGCCTGGGCATCACCCCCGCGTCGTTCACCAAGGCCCGGGATGTTATTGGCTTCAACTCGCGCTATCCGCAGAATTCTCCCGGTGAACCCAACTTGTTGATGATGTCGGCGCTGGGGTCGGCGACGGCCGCAGTTGTGGCGATGGCGGGCGGTGGTGTGGTGGCTGCGAAGCCGGCGGAGTGAGGTCGCGGGATGACAAGAATGGGGATGGTATGGGTGAGTGGGTAGGGCATGGTGTTTTGGAAATAGATTGGTTGGATACATGTTGGGAGTTTAGTGTGTGTGGTGACGTGTCTATGAGGTCAGATCCTTGTCAGGAAACTAGCTTGTCCGAAGTTGATCACAATACCGTGAAAATACCAAAGTATTGAATCAGCCCACTTACACTTCTTTTTGTTCTCTATGACGGTGGTTGGTTCCACACTTCCGACGGTGTTTTACAGTTTGCCACCTCGCTGACCACAACCTCATCTGATCCCATGATTCAGAGGTCATGTTGTGAACAGGTATCGCTGAATAATAAATAGCACACAGAAATATTCATTTCAGTTCCGCACCAGTCGTCACAAACTGCTCGCTACATCTGGTTGTTCTGTGTGATGCATCGCTATGCTTAACTCAAAGCTCTGGAAGCAAACTTACTACCCCCCTATTCAAGGAACAACTGTTACGAACCGACAGAATATCGGCCATCAACCTTCTCTTCCACTCGACCGTCTATTACCCAATAACTGCCCACCGCCTTCCTCTTTCCGGTGCACAGCTATTCTTACCGGAGCCATCCTACTCCATCACGCCAAAGAAAGAAGTCGACATGTGTGTCCAGAATCTCATCGCACTCTGGTGGTACGTACTTTGATCCTGTCGCACTGGGCGCGATAAGCATGCTCCCTTCTGAGAGAAACGACTAACTTCGCTTAGTCCCTGTATACCACACGCATGCATCAGAGGCACCCCCGGCCCTTACACACGGGTTGCTTTCATGGACGAAGGTAAAGGCCACATCATCGCCCGTTTGGTCTTCACGGGAGCATACATCTGGTGTGATGACTACGTTCAGTCGCCCAATTTTGCGGTCAGCTTCCATATCAACCCCCCCGCCTGCCCCAACGGCAGCCTAAGGACCGAATATGACCGTGCGGATATACCCCTTCCCCAGAATAAGACATACGAGCCGGCTAATAGGTTCCGATAGACTACCTTTCCCGCACGCTATGCGCCGGCTGCATGCGTGAAGGCTGCTCCGCGCCGACAGAGGAGCCGTCCGCGCACGGGGATACCACCCGAAGGTTCCGATTCATCGCACCGACCTTGACAGCACTCTTTGGCCCGCCTAAGACCATCATCACCACCGGCGGCGTAGCAGAGCCGGAATCCTCGAAAAAGCCCAAGAAGCCCCGAGGCAAGACAAAAACCAAGAAGAACGGACCTGCTCCGCTGCGAGTCATCGACCTCCGCGAGGACGACGCTGCTGATATCGCGCGGCTCAAGCTCCAGAGGGCCGAAAAGGAACAGACGAAGGCCAGGGGTAATACCGAGGGCCTGTGCGTTCTGCGAAGCACGACGGATACCGAATTCCTCTTCCGCCCCAGCGGTAGACAGACCCCCACCGAAAGAATCGCGCCCCTTTCACCCGACGGCGGAGAAGCGGGGCTCAATACCCCCCCACTGCTGGTCTTTGATGACGATTACGAGGACGAAGGCAATGATGCGGATGGGGAATATCAGCAGCGCGGCGACGTCCAGAACCCGTATCGGCTCCCTAGCCTTCGGCCCCCTCCCCGTCCACGAGGTTAAGGATCCCTCTTTGCTGTCGGGAACATTGCCGAGCCCTTCATACAGTTGTGGGCCACCCTGTACATGGTGTGCTTTGCTGGCCTACGCTGGTTGTTGTTTGGGAACTGGAGGTGGAAAGGGCGATGTCTAGGTGTGCTTTGAGCGCGGAGACGACTTGGGGTGGCGTAGACAGACAGCACGCCGGCCACCTTTAATGGGATAGGTATCACTGCTAGAGACCGTGATGAGATTATGCTTAATGCACGGCCGTGTACAGAAAGGGTGGGTGTTCTTATGGGCTTGGGGTGCAGCAAAAGTGCAGACTTAATACCTCGCATCCCAGGCAAGTTAAGGAAAGCGTCGCCAATACCAACAACAATAATAACAGGAAACTGGTAGTTCAACTGTATCACAAAATTAAGACGGTTGGCGCACAATGTCTCACCTTCCCGACGCCACCAACACCACAGCTGTCGAAGGCGCGTGGTCAGAATTACCGAGACGCCATTTCCAGGATTGATGAGATCTGTTTGCGTCGATCAACGATCTCCAACGGCAGCCACAAGAGCAACCAAAACATCCCAAAGAGGACCCTAACGGGCTGACCTAACCATAATTATCATGCCCCAAGAGAGGAAGTCGGACGTCGCATTAAAGATCGGGGTTAAGACGCTCAGTGGAAGATACCTGGAGGGTACCTTGGGTGTATGGACGGCCCCGAGCTACGAGGTCTGTGGGAACGACGCCCAGCTTACTGAATAGAACCGAAGGTAGTAATATTTCGTTGTCAGTAACTTTTGAATATTGTACAGGATAAATAAGATGATCATCAAGCTCCTTGTATAAGGTGGGTATGAGAAAACAAAAAACTCCAAGCCCGAGACCCGGCTCTCCACCGCGCGAGTTCGCTCCCCATGCGTGCCTCTATCAAATAAAACATCCCAAAAGTCCAAATCTAAGCCGTGTTCATGTCTGAGAAAAGGAAACCAAGCCCCACCCCCAAAACACCTTAAGACCTCTCAACCCTGTAGGTTTCCGTAACCATAATCCCGTTGTGCCCAACCTGTCCATGTGTATTAGGGTGTCCCCTCCCACTCGACCCTCCCGACGACGTATTCCGCTCCTCATCCGACCGCCGTCCAGTCTGTATCTGGCTCCGGCGGAACTCATCCCCCAGAATCTCCTCCTCGGACGCATTATCCCCACTCTCCCTCCGCCCCCTCCCTACCGTCGTCCGCGTAAACGGACCCCCCACCCCCAACTTGACATCACTAAAGCTGACATCATCCGTACTCCCATTCGTGGTCTTATCGACACAGGTATCATCCAGCCCGGACTTATTGCGCGAGTTATTCGCACTGGGGTGGTGCTTCTTGGAGCCGGCGATGGGCTTCCCGTCGGCGCCGACGAGGCCGCCGCCGATGGTGCGCAGTGGGACCGAGTTGCTCTGGTTGTCGCCGCCGCCACCGCCGTCCCCGGATTGTTTCTGGTAGCCGGCCGACGAGGTCTCGCCGAAGAGGCGGCGGAAGGCCCGCTTGTAGAGAGGTCGGCATACGGGGATCCCGATGCAGATTAGGGTGATGGACATCTCGGCGGCGGACCAGACGATCAAGCCGACGCTGTCCTCTGTTGGTGTCAGGGTGGTTAGTGGTGGGGAGGGGTGGTTGATTGGATGGATAAGGGGGGACGGGCGGGCTTACTGAGGTAGTTGGGGGTGTAAAGCCCTTCGACTTCGGTGGTGCGTTTGATGCCGGCGGCGGCCGCGCTGGGAGGGTGTTTAGTGGAGGTTTGAGAGTTGGGTTGGCGTGGTGGTTGTGCTTACATCAAGCCGAGACTCATACTGCCGGCGATGGTGTACTTTTCTCGTTGCGGCATCTTAAGCGGCCACACAATGATCCAGGGGAAGATGGCAAAGAAGAAGTCGACCAAGATGGTGGAAACTGTTTTGACCCCGGTTCGCATACTGCATTAGAGTGGGACTGGGTGCAACGTACTGCAGAGGATGTACGACGTCGGCCGGGTGTCGATGGGGCAGTAGCCGCCTGGGATGCGGCGGTCGTAGACAAAATCGAGTGGGACGCAGGAGAGCCAGAAGCAGAGGACTTGGGCTGCTTGGAGTCAGTATGGAGACCCGGAACCTAAACTGAGGGTCAAGCCTACCGATCGAGGCCAGCATAACCAGCGTCATGGCAGACCAAATGGCGATGCGGTGCCAGGTGATGGTAACCAGGCGAAGCAAGAAGAAGCCGAGTGATGCTTTCGCAATTGCCATACCGACAATGGCGAAACCTTGGCCAATGCATTCGTACAGTGTCGCTTGAACAACGGCGTCCATGCTCCCTATCTCTTCCATCGTTTGCCCAAAGCCATAGTTACCCGCAAGCGTTGTGAAGATGGTGAAAATCAGCAAAAATATAAAGGCGACAAGGTAAACGTGGTCGTCGAGGCCGTACGAGGCGAGACAGACAACGCGAGTGTAGAACCGTAGAATCAGGAAGAAGAACACGAGCGAAGCCAACAACCACATGACGGCCAAAGACCAAGGGCCGTCGCCCTTGATGCCCACCGGGGCCACCATCCTGAAGGGAGAATGAGTCGAGAGTCCAGAATCGAGTGTGGACGGGCGTTCAACGGTTCAACCGGTTGCCTTTGCTTGAAGAAGCTGCTGCCACTGCGGCTGCTGGGTGACCATGGGACGTCGAAACAAGAGCCGAGGCGGGGGGACAAGCGAGAGTTAAGAACCGACCCTGGAAAAGCAACTCGAATGGCAGGCCGCGCCCCAAACAGAGTCACAGTAACTCTGTAGACGGGCTCAGCTCAGCCGTCAGGTCAGCGAGAAAGGGGAATGATGTCGATCAGCCTCATCAGGGTCGAAGGTTAAACTGTAACTCTCTCTGTCTGTCGGGTCTGTGAAACCGCCCGGGGGTGACTGGGACGGTCCCACGAGGCTCTGTGCCGCAACGTTCAAGCTGATCTTCTTTGCTTTCTGCACCGTGGGCGGGATGGGATGAGCAGGGGTCATCAACGCGCGCTTCAGTGCCACCTCTGGGCAATAAAAGCCGAACTCCAAGGGTCCATGGCGGCTGCTGACTGGGACCAAACCTTCAACAAGAACGAAAGGAAAGCCATTCCGAAGACCAAAATCTACCTTTTTATTTGGCTTGATTTTCCTTACTTACATCTTTTCTCTTTTCTGGTTCCCTTTACTTTTTGTTTCTCTTCTCTTGATTTCTTGCTCCCCTTCGAGTTCAGGTTTTTTTTTGCCCTGTGGGTGGATACCGGGTTTCTGCCCGGGGATGGCTCCGGCGTCAACAGCCAACAAAAGGGGGATGCAGGCAAGGTCGAGTCCCAAGTCTCTCGGGCCCCGGTTCGGAGGGTTTGTTACCCTTGTGCTGGGTCAAAGCAGGAACGGGGGTCACAACCGAAGACGCCTCACTGGCTGGGGAAGCCGGATGAGTCTGTTAGGGTATCAATCGCCAAGGTTCTTTTTGTTGCAGGAATCCCCCACGCCGAGGGAACAGGAGATGAGGGAAAAAAGCAAAAGTAAGTCGGTCCGTCGAGGACGAAAAAGAACAAGAACGACTTCGGCGCCCACGATTGCTGTCTGCAGTCACTGCGCCATTGAGGGCCATCGAGTCACAACCGCCACGGTTGATCAGCACGTGTACGATGTTGCCATACTCGAGGGTGTCGAGACGCGGGGAAGCGGTGAGCATCCCGGTTTATTCGGACGGGTTGGACATCATGCAATGCGAGGACAGTTCCACGGTACTTATAAAGAAGTGATCGTTCATTATTTTGTTTCAGGTGCCTCAAGCCCGCAAGCTGCGTTGGAAAGTCAAAAGTTAATCTTGGTACGAAGGCGGGAAACACGGGGTTGATGGAGGCTTTGTCCACGGCAGAATTGCCCGATTCGTGACAACAACCGCATGCCCATCGTGCCGCCGTCGTCGCCAACAACTGGTGCAGGAGGATTGGGAGCTAACCAGCTAACCATTTAGCGCCGCCATGGGTTCAGCAGCTTCACAGTTTGAGCGTGGGAAAAAAGAAATTCGATGGCGTGAGAAATTGAGACACGGCGCACGTTCCCGATAGCGAGGCGCCCCGATCGGAATTTGCGAGACCCGTCCAAACATCCGGGTCCCGTCCGGCTTTCGTGTGAGTTCTTGGGTTCGGATCGTGCTGGGATGGTGGAAAAGCTGTTCTTGCCTGTTGGTTCGCATCGCTGCAGCCAATGTCTCAGTCGGAAAAGAACAACCGGAACAGGCAACACCCGCCACCACGCTGCGTCGGCCAGTTCCCAGCCTGCTGGAAATTTCAAGCCACTTGCACCTTAAACGTTGCGTTCGGTTGTCACACACACCGTTCTGGTATCAGCTCCAGCCGCAATGTTGCCGTGCTGCGCCTGCCTTCCACGTTCATGCGGTTGGTCACACTGCTTGAATGCCACGGCTGTTTGGGCACGTAACAAGCAACTGCCGTTGTTGTTTTATGAATTATTGGTTTTCTCAATACGTCCCCTGCACCTCCACACATTTCACACTTCGCAACATCCCTGGCTCGCCACCCTCAGAACACAATGTTTCTGTTGCGGAGTGAAGTTGATTTTGAGAAGGATGATCGCCAATTTTCGGTCCCGAGGAAGGAAAGCACCCACAAACAACAGCGAGCCGGGATGATGCTGGGACACAACCATGAACACGACGGGAAGTCCAACACGGGGAATGACGGCCGCGCCGATGCCCTTGTATTTCTGGGCCGCTTGCGAGGGTTCAAGGTTGGAAAGAGGAGAACCCGGATTTATTCGGAGCGAATGAGAGACGACAGCGAGGTCAGCCAGTGGAGAGGATACTTTCGGGAGTGGGTTAGTGCTGATGCGGAACGGGAACAGTGGGGGTCATTTTGGACGTTCTCTCCACCATCCCGCTCCATCGTTCAAACCAACAGAGCGGCATGTGGGGCCGAGAACCACGTCTGTTTTGACTGCTGCCCAGAGGTTGCAGCGCAGCATGCTACGTAAACCTTTTCAAACAGGGAACACGTCGGTGGGTTGGCGTGCCAGGGCATGTTTCCCGGGATGGGACGGGACGGGACAAGCCCGGAGGCAAGCCCGTGGCAAGTTGCCCTTGAAGTGTCGAAATCAGCCCAGCTGAGGAAGATAAAAAGGAAGGGGATGTTCCCCCCCAAAAGATCGACGACATCACGCAATATCCGTATCTCAGGCTTGGAGGGGCCTGAGAGGGTTGAGGAGGAGGAGGGAGCTTCCGGATCTAACAACCAAACTATCCGATGTGTTGTACCATTACACAGGATTCACTCGATCCGCATGAGCGACGGGTCCTCGTTCCCAAGATCGACCGAGGAGAGGTGCACATCTGCATTTGTGCCCTGGAGCCCACCTGCCCACCATACCAATCTCGTCCCTGTCTGCATTGTATGTAACATGCACCGGCAACCCGCTAAAACACAATGGGAACGGCCAAGAACATTGGGTTCCTCCCCACCTGCATGCCGACGCTGTTCATAACGCGACCTGGCTGCTGTTGCAATTTCGGGTCCGATAAGGGCCGCCTTCACCTTCCTGTGTCCTCTTCTTCACCTTCCTCCCATCCTTCCGCCTGCCGTGCCGCACAACAGCACGGAGTGCGGCTCCTTACCTCCACGTGGTTTGAAGGCACGAGTGAGTGTTTTGTGTAACACAAGGCCGACTCCCCCAGAAACTGCCCCATGGCTTCCGCGTCACCAGCCGCCAATGGCGGCATTCCCCCTGCGGAGGGATTCACATTGGACCTGACGACGTTGCTTGCCGGCGTCTGGGGTAACAAGCTGAGCGCCCTGGTTCTCGGGCCGTCTGTGGCCGTGTTCCTGTGGTTCTTCGTCGCCTATCAGACGTCGCCCCTGAAGAAGTACCCCGGCCCTTTTCTCGCAGGTATGTGGCCCAAGCTCGCGGCAACCCATGGGACCCCCATTCTGACGTGAGAACCAGGGTGGACGAACCTCTGGCGTGTCTGGCAGGTGATTTCGGGAGAGTATGCGCCCCGGATGAAGAAGCTCCACGAGAAGTACGGCCCGATCGTTCGCATCGGCCCGAACCTCCTGGACCTCGACATTCCCGAGCTGTACCGCGTCATCTACGGCACCGACGGCAAATGGATCAAGTCGGACTTCTACAAGAACAGTAGCTCCATCATCGATGGCAAGATCACGTACCACATGTTCTCCGAGGTGGACCCCACCCTCCATGCCCTGATCAAGCGCCCCGTGGTGCGCCACTACTCGGTGCCCGCCGTGCTGGTGATGGAACCGTTGATGGACACCATCATCAAGGAGTTTATCGACACGCTACAAAAGCGCTATGTTGAGCCCAAGAAGACGTGCGAGTTTGGCGAGTGGCTGAGCTACTGTAAGTGGCCTCCCTTTCCTGTCTCCTACAGAACAGTTTGCTGACCCGCGCAGACGCCTGGGATTTCATGGGCATGGTGACCTTCAGCACCAAGTTTGGCTACATGGAGAAAGGCACCGACTTTGACGGCACGCTCGCCATCGCCGACAAGTCCATCGACTACCTGGCGCTGTGCGGCCAGATGCCCTGGACCGACTACATTCTCGACAAGAACCCCATCTACCCCATCGGCCCGCCCAACATCGGCAACGTCACGCGCATCGCCGTGCAGAATCTGACGGCCCGCCTCAAGGGCGAGGACAAGAACTTCACCGAAGGCAACCCCGACTTCCTGCAATACTTTATTGAGTCCAAGTCCACCCACCCAGAGCTCGTCAACGACGGCAGCGTCATCGGCTATCTTCTACTCAATCGTAAGCCCCCCCCCCGCCCCCTTCCCCCCCAACCCTCATCCACTGTACCCTCAAACCACGCAAACCACACCACCCACTAACCCCCCCTCTTAGTCATCGCCGGCGCGGACACGACCGCCATCACCATGCGCGCCCTCTTCTACCACGTGCTCAAAAAACCCCCGCATCTTCCAGCGCCTCCAACGCGACGTACGCGCCAACTTCGCGGCCTTCGAGCCGGCGGCGCACAGCAAAGCGCGCGCCCTGCCCTACCTGGAGGCCGTCGTCAAGGAGACGCTGCGCTACCACCCGGCGGTGTCCATGATCATGGAGCGGATTGTGCCCGAGGGGGGATTGACTCTGCCGGATGGTAGTGTGGTGCCGGCGGGCCAGATGGTGGGCATGAATCCGTATATTGTGGGGAGGAATAAGGAGGTGTTTGGGGAGGATGCCGAGGAGTTTAATCCGGATCGGTGGTTAAGGAGGGAGGGGGAGGGGGAGGAGGAGCATAAGGAAAGGATGGCGCGGTGGGGACAGAGTTTGTTGGCTTTTGGGGGGGGGTATCGCATTTGTTTGGGGAGGAATCTGAGTATGATGGAGGTGTATAAGGTGGTGCCGACGTTGTTGGCGAGTTTTGATATCGAGTTGGAGGATCCGAATGAGGTGTGGTGGACTTGTTCGAGGTGGTTTTATCGGACGAAGGGGGTTATTTGTAAGTTGAAGCCGAGGAGCTCGTGAGGGGGGTTGGAGGGGGGTTGGCGTAGTTAGGGGTTATGATGTGTGGATGTGAACTTGTTGGATATCTGATGGTTGTTTGAGCATGTGGAACGAGTAGTACGCACATGAAAATGCAACTTGTGAGCAGCGGCGGCTCTTGTATGACTTCATCACGAACCGGTGCACGGCCCTTGAAGAAGTGGTCCGGTCTACATGTATGATGTATGTTGTCGAAGGCGGGACACGAAGAGAACGTGGGGGCGTGGAACAAGTGGTATTGTTCACAGTACGATGCTGGTTAGAGCAACACAAAGCGAACTCCTCCACACTCCACACACTAGCGTGAAACAATGGCATTGAGGCAACCATAACCACCCTAACGTCACAAGCCAGGTGGAACGTGGCACCTGGGCAAGCGACGGTCTTCTCTTGATATATAGGTAGGTAGGTATACTTACCTAGCTTTGCTCGGTCTAGACACCTTCGGTGACCACGAAACTTCCAGCAAACTTTCAGCTTTGGCCTCTCATTCCTGCCATCCAAAATGTGCGAATTTCAGCAAATAACCGAGTCTTGTATTTCCTGTGACCAGATCCTGGACATCAACCACAAGTTGGTAAAGGTTTGCCAGGACATGACATCAAGGTTGAGGCAGATTTACCCGAAAGTTGAGACCTGCGGCAAATCCTCCGTCAACTACGCATCCAAAGTTACCGTCCACTGCGGTTGCCGGGATTTACGTGGGGGGAAAAGGAAGCGTCCCGATGACGATTACGGGGACGACGAGGACGACGAGGAATAGGACTTGCACCCCCTGACTAAACGAGATGCTGGTATCATAGGACCTCTACCTTGTTTAGGACACTTGCTGATTTTATACTGTCTGTAATTTAATCATACTTCTTACCTGTTTTGTTTTATTTCGACCCCGAATTGTTGGAACCAAGGTCCTGACTGCTGACACATGCAACACTGCAAGTTCGAGATCAAGTCTACATCTTGAAGCTGTGCAGCCGTTGTATTTTGTATCATCGTAAAAAGGTTCGAAAGTGTTATGTTTCCGGAGATATTATTCGAAAAGTTAAGCCAAAGTGCGACGCCCCAACGTGCATCTAATCAGCTGCAAGATATCGATGGCCCATTATCTTGCAACATCTGCGGTTGGATCGTTTGTTCGGCCGGCAGGCAGGGCTTTGGGTGGCTTTCCTTGATTGGACGTGGTGGCATTAAGGACGCGGGGGGCGAGAGGGCGGTGGTGAGAAAGGGAAAAGGGGGGCGGGCAAAGGGATTTTGGTGCGGGCGACGTCCGACAAGCAAGTGTACGTACCGAACTCTGGCCGAATCAAAAGTCGCATAACGTACCTCGTGTAACCATAGATCGGGCACAACATAATACAAGTGCCTCGTCTACGCGCCTGGCTTGGCTGGCTGAAACTGCGCCGCAAACGAGGCGGTTCGGGCACGGAATGGCGTTCGCCCTGTGCATCGAAATATTATCAGCTAAAAGGGCGCGCCCCGCTGATGGAAATCTCGCACAGCCGCAGTGGAAGCATCCACAATGAGTCCCCCATGAACGATATGGCTCTCCCACCAGAGGAACAAACCCCAACATCATCAAGCCCCGAGAAGTACCCCTATGAAGCCCGCATCAGGGACTGCTTTCGGTGTTGGCCGACGGCCGCCGTGTTCTACCAAAGTCTAATCGACTATTTACACACGACATCCAGTGACACCTTCTCACCACTGCAGGTACCAACGACTTATTTGTTGGGCCATCACTTGGACAGGAATGGCCGGACAGAAACCCCGCATGGGAGCCCGGTTCCCAGGAGCCAGAGTTTCTCCTCCTCAACCTCGGCGAAACTAACGCAGCGACCCTCTCTCCCTACATCCATTTCAACGCCCACCACCGACTTCCAGCGGGCCCGTCTAGCACGCCAGTCCCACCTCACCGTAGTGGAAGGGCTGCTGGCGCCGGAATCCGTTGGGATCCTCGGGGAAATGTACCAAACGCGGCCCGAGTTCTTCATCGACCACCTAGCATTCGATAGTTGCGGCTACGGATCCGACTCGAGGCCAGGAGGTGGGCGAGATCAGCTCCCGAACCTGCCGTCAAAGCGGGACAACATCATTCACGTGAGGTTCATGTCCATGCTGAAGATCTCGGGCAACGCCCAGACGGTGCAGCCTGCCCAGCGCTTTTCCGCTTCTCTCACCAGCCGGTTCGAGCGCCGTACCTCGTTGGAGGCCAAACGCAGCGCGTACGACAGGCGTTTGTTCCAGCATAAACATTATGGCGCTACCCGGTTCAGGGCCCTGCATGTCCACAAGGAGGAGTGGCTGACGGTGGAGCAAATGGTCTCCTTCAGCGTCAAACGCGAGGGCGACAAGATCTGGCATGGTAAGGAACCCTTAAAAGCCCAAGCATCAGAGGTAGACCCCCAATAGCTAATCAGACACCTTTGGCATTTAGGTCTGCTCCTCCTAGACGGCGGCCGGGAATTCGAGAACGTGGACCCCCCCTGGGCCGAATACATGGACTCGGACAAAGCCTCCGACTCCGACTCCGACCCCTCCACCAAAACGGGCTTCATCCCCGTCATCCCCTACAACGTGCCCGCGATCCCGCCCTCCGTCGACGAAGAGCAACTCCAACAAGCCATGCTCAAAGTCCACCGGCCCTACCACCCGGCCATCGACCTCCTCCTCGCCACAGCCACCACCACCACCACCCTCAACAGCCCCCCCACCTCCCCCAACCTCACCACCAGCGACGCGCACCTCCTCGCCGAAGACCCCTTCTACATCCTCAGCCGGGTGTACCACGCAGCCGCCCGCACGCGCATCCAACTACTCAGCTTCCTAGAAGCCGACATCACGGAATGTTCCGCGGCCAGCGCCGGCGGCGCCATCACAGACGGCGCGCAGCAGAGCCTGGTGCTCGACCAGCTCCGCTTCAACCTGCAGCTGGTGCGGCGGGTGGAGCGGTTCTGCAAGGAGGACCTGGGCAGCATCGGGCGGCTGGGGTCGGCGGGGTGGCCGCGGGCGGGGACGGAGGAGGGGCGGGAGCGGATGGGGGAGATCAAGGAGCAGCTGCTGGAGGATTATGGGTTTTTGGTGGAGCAGTGCGGGCATTTGGCGCTGCAGTGCGAGACGGCGAGCGGGGCGCTGGTGAGTTTGGCGCAGTGGATGGATGCGCGGGAGGGGATCAGGGAGTCGGGGAATGTGGCGAATTTGACCGTGTTGGCGATTGTGTTTGTGCCGTTGGGGTATGTGTCGTCGTGTTTGAGTATGAATGTGACGTTTATTAATGTGGATGAGGGGATTCAGATATGGATTTGGGGTGTGGCTTCGGGGGTTTCGGTGGTGCTGACGGGGATTTTGGTCATGGCGTTGATGAGGTGGAAACGGTAACTAGGATCCAATGGTCATGACAATTATGTATACATCTGGGGGAAATCTGCATTTGATAGCTTGTAATAAGCATAGGGAGAGACTATCAAGAATAATTCGGGCAAGAGACAAGCTACCTCAAGGACTAAAGTAATGGGTATGGGCTGTTCCCCCTTGACTTTCGACCTTTGTATTGGAAGACAACCCTTGACGACCAGGAACAAGAATGTCAGTAGAAACCGGCAAACCGCATCTCAATGCTCTGTCGGGGCGGGCCATCGACCAGCTTGGGATCAAACGCGGCATGGAAAGCGACTAGCGGCCAGGAAGTCAAACTCGTCAGCCAGTTCATGGGATCCATAAAGGGAACTAGAGGGGGGGTACTAACTTGCGCGCTTGCCCAGGGAGTTGGAGTTGCGGAAGACGATCAGATCGTCAACCTCCTGGTCCTTCAGAAAGTACCACTTGTGTTTACTGTTGTAGTGCATCAAACCATTCTCGCCGACGGTGATCTCGTTAATGACGTCGTTGGCGACATAATCGGTCGTAAAGTCGACGCTCTGGGCATCACACACCGCCAGGGGCCAGTCGTTGTTAGGGCCGGCGAGAACCTTCCAGATGCTACCCATCCCCCAGTCGGGGGGAATAGTTAGCCGACCAACCCTTTGCAAGTCTGGTATGTGAAGGGCAGCTAACTCACTTGATCAGGTCAAAGTCCCGATCCTGATACACCTCCGGCTCGCCCGGATACATCAGGGCCATGCGGAGGAACGATCCGTGCGTGGTAAAGTCAAAATGTGGCAACGCCGCCGGCTGGGGAAAGGTTACTGGCTGCCCCGGGGTTCCAGGGAACATGGGGCTACGTTTGCGGATGGAATGGTCCAGATAGATGATGTCCCTGTACTGGGGGAATCGTTTGCGCAGCGTGTCCTCCATCTCGACGCGAAACTTGTTGTAGATGAGCTCTTCATCGTCGATGTTGCTGACGTCGAGGCAGTTTTGGCGCTTGAGGAACTCGAATCCGTTCTTCTCTAAAGTGAAGGTCCCCGGTGGGATGTCACGCGCGTTGTGAACATCCTGGGGCATGAGCTCGATGACATGGTTGGTAGCCTTCGCACCTGGGATGTCCTTGACGTCGAAGACAGCCGCGTATGGCTTTTCTGTCTTATATAGCGGGGACTTGGCGAGGTATGGGATAGGAACGTGGACCTTAGACTCAGGGACTGTGGTCACGGTTGCCGTCATGGTTTGGGCCATTGCGGTGGCGGGTTGGCGGGGGGGGGGGGGGGGGGGGGGGGGGAATTATCTGCGGTTTTGGCTTTGTCAACGAGTTTGAGGGAGTAACGGGAACCCGGGGTGGTAGCTTATGACTCGGGGGTGGCAGCATCTTAAGTAAGTAGAGTGATGTGGGCTCCCGGAAACTCCTGCATTCCGAACAAATAATCATGTACATGCCCACGGAAGTACATTTAGGCACGTACACGACCCTGGAGATGTCGACCTACATATTTGACACACATCGTTCTTGAGGCAAATCTGAAGCACATCACCGGTACCACCGTCCTACTTCACAATCGCCTCGATTATGTATGCCATTGAACGGCTTGGGTTAACACTCAATTGAAACGCGGTGTTCAGTAAGGCGGCTAAGAATCCCTATGAACCCCTAAAACCACAACTTCCAAGATTTGCCCTTTGCTGTCTGGCAGGAATTTGATGGCCCGCCGACAAACTACTCCTTATCCTCCTTGGGGACAGGCTGAGGCTTGGCTGGGGCCCTCGGGAGAGCTCCACTTCCACCTCCTGAGAATTATGGTCAGTGAGCCAAGGTCGTTTGTGAACGCGAACTGCATGGGAAGGGAGTCACATACCGTTTCCAGCCGCCATGTATGGGATCACCATCCTCTCACCGAGGGGACCGTTTGAGGGTTTATACCACTCCTTCCAGGGTTGACTGAGGGCTGGAGCAGGTTGCATGATGGCGTTTAAACGGGAAGCTGTAAAAGCTTTTGTGAATGGATTTTAGTGACGAGGATGTGATACAGTTTGTTTTGTGATGAGGCAACAATTCCGGGAAAGAATGAAGCTTGACTCTCTGGTCCAAGTAGGGTCATATATATCCGTAGCCTATCTGTCTTGACTTCCATCCAACCCTTCAGACAACCTAAATTATCTCATGACTGGGCACACCAATGATCCATCTTGCCGTTGCTCCATCCTGCACCGTGGATTACATACATGTCGGCTATACTCGGTGTCTAGTTGGGTATTCCACAAGACACGTTGATGAGGCTTTGACCTTTGGAAGTTGAGGGTGTGTGCCCCCCAAACCGTTACGGCAAACACGCTGCATGTGCCGTCGGCAACATAATACACGAAGCCTCAACGTGTGTCCGGCAGATTCAAAGCCCCAGATTTGCATCCCGCTTGCTATCAGTAACTGGCCTGACACGAGGATCGAGTTTGTCTTACGCAATCGATGATTGACTGCATATGGGCGTCGTATGAGTTGCACACTACTACTGGACGATGGGCTTGTTATGGTGTGGCACAGCATGCAACCGTGCGAGCCTTGCGTAAATCCAGCGAGACCATTGGGAAGAATCTTATCTCTGCAATTACCTGACCGAACCCTGCAATACTCTGCCGTCCCTCCTTCACGGGAGCCTTGTCACCCATGCTAATACATCATTGGCTTTGCCGGGGAGATGATGAAGTGCGGCGACGGTTTAGGAAAGCCACTGCGGGGATCAAAAGTAAGCTGAATGGTTGGAGAATGAACAGGATGCGGGTGGGTGGCATTTCGAAGGCGGCGACTTAACCCCCCACGGGGAACACGCCCAGAGTCTCAGTCAGCCACAACGAGTGGCAGCATATGATACCTACCCCGCCGGCAATATGGCCACAGCGGTCCAGAACACGGGATGGAGACATTTTTGAGGCTCTGCTCTTGAGGGGGAACCCCATGAAATGAACCAATCCGCTAGAACAATCACACTGCTATCATGAAAAAATGCTACGATTGCACACCCTCCAAACCAAACTACGACCTCAAAATCTCAACAGCGAGTAAGCTACCGCGACCAGAACATCACCAGCCTGTCAAACTCCCGCTCATTTCCCGGCAGCACATTCGGCCCAATGATCTCACGGCGGAGTTCCTCGGCCTCGTTGATCAGCCGACTGCCCTCGTCCATCTTCCCCGCGTCCTGCAACACACAGCCCAGCTTGTACTTTGTCCGTGCCCTCTCGTTGCGATACCACGTGGGGCGGGCTTCGAAAAGGGCCAGAGCTTGGTTCAGGAGCTCGCTGCAACATTCCGCGCGGTTAGTGATGGGGTGCGTCGAGCGTCGTGTCTTGAAACGGGAAATGGAGCCACTCACATGGCCTGGGGGTATTCCTTGCGGGCGTGGTGGTGCCACCCCTTCTTGTGGCACAGATCTGCAGTCCGGTGATGCTTGTCGCCGAGGGTGGTCTGGTAGATCTTGAGGGCGTCTGAGTGCGTCTTGAAGGCTTTGTTCAACTCGCCCCGTGCAATCTGGAGGTTTCCCAGCGGGTACATGAGGTACCCAGTTCTAGTGCCGTTAGTAATAGCTCTCAAAATGATATGAGACGGAGAGCGCCACAAAGTCTACGTACCTGAATCCCCTATCGGGAGCGCTGTTCATGATTGGGTCAATGACCGCCTGTGCTTCATCAAGTTTACCCTGCCAGATCAAGCAAAAGGCGAAATTACCACCCTAGCACCGACGTCAACCACTCTACTCCGCATCAAATCCCACACACAGGTCCAAGGGCCAAGCGTTACTTACGTACATGCGCTTGTCAGCATCCAACCCCTCAAACGCGTCGAAGCACTTGCGGTACCACTGCTCCGCCTCCTCGTACTGCTCGGTGCCCTGGTTCCCGTTGCCCATGCCGCCGAGCCCGAAGCAGTACCGGATGTCGGGCAGGTCCACCATGCCCCGCTTGACCGCCTTGTCGACGAACTCGTACTGCAGCTTGAAGTTCTCGAGCGCCGAGCTCTGCTCGTTGGTCTCGGTTGCGACCGACGCCCGGGCGCCGTAAATGTCGGCCAGGATGAGCTCGCAGCCGTCGTGGGCGAGGCAATAGTGCTCCGAGGCTTGGAGGAGCGGCTCGGACTGCTCGAACGTGCCCCGCTCGTAGTTGTGCCATGAAGCGTTGTACAGGAGCTCGGCGAACTCCTTGGTCCCGGCTAGGGGAACCTTGCCTTCGAGTTGTGAGTCTTCATAAAAACGACACAATGACAGGATATGCGGCAATAAGCGCCCCTGTGTCGGCCACAGATCGGGGCGGTGTCTATTCTTCCGCGGTGCAACTGGGTACAGGTGATGTACGAGGTTAATTGCCATGTAGAAAGAGTCCTGCCGATTTTCCGGAGTCATCCGCTGTTGGCAAGCCGCTTGTACCAACCTGTGCATGGAGAGCGTTTTCGTCGCGGCATTTTGGTCCATCAAAGAGCTCTGTAGGATCATGGCCTTCTGTTTGGTTAGCTTTCGGACATTGTCGATGATGGCCCAACCGCTGTCGCCGGCTTTGGATGCCTTGGCGGCGCCATTGGCGAGCATCTCCAATTCGATCGTATCCGGGTTGAGAAAGGATAGCACGTTGATGAGCTTCTGGGAGTCCTTGGACAGGTTGTCGAAGTTCATGGACCAAACATTCAGAAGCGTGTGGCGGTAGGGCTCCTCATTGGGATTTCCGAAGAGCTGCATGTCCTCGGTTGAGGTGAAGAGATCATGGTAGTCGTAGGCTGAGAGGAACTCGGTGAAGAGACAGGAATCGTTCACGATCAAGTTGGCTGCTTGGTAGATTCCGAGAGGCAGACAACCAAGGCGGTGCACGATTTGTCGGGCGGCTTCTCGCTGTTCCTGGTGCTCATCGTTCTCTCCGCCAGCAGGGGAGGTTGCTCCTGGCGCCTTCATATGCTCCTGGTTAGTTAATTTCAGGAGTAGGTCGACAGCTTCTTCTTCGTTCAAGGGAGGGAGAACGTCGCAACCAAACTTGGCGGCCAGTGTTTTGGTCCTGCTTGTGACTAGAACTGCCCCTTTGCTACATTGTGGCCAGAACTTCAGGAGCGTGTTGTCCGGGTTATCGGCATTGTCGAGCACTAGCAGCCATGGTACGTCTAGAACAGATCACCACGTATTAGACGAAGAAAAACGGTAGTTCTCCGACGCTGGAAATACCTGTCTCTTCGAACCACTTCTTCAACTGCTCACAGCTGTAGAGGTGGTCCGGCTCATCCTCGTCCACGAGACCCAGGTCAACAGCAAAACGGGCAAAATCTCCAAGCAGGTTTGTAGACTCATCAGCGTGAGCGAAGAGTACGGCCGCAAAGGACTCCATGTACTCCAGGGCGAACCGTATGGCGACCTGGGTCTTCCCGACGCCGCCAAGTCCGCACAGCGCGAAGACGGCTTGGGAGTTGGACTTTTCTGGTTTGTCGGGGCGCAGGACCTCGTAGATCTGGGCTAAAATGTCCGACCTGCCTGTGAAGTTGAGGTTTTCCTTGTGGGGAAGAATGCTCCGGCAGGGGAGATTCAGCTTCCGAGGTTGAGGGGTTGTCAGAGTTTCCGTCTCGTCGGGAAACTTGGAACTTGTCGGGGTTGCGGGTCCCGATCCTTGAATGCATGTGGTCAATGGGATGTCTTCAATAAGTACAGAAAGCCATAGTTACCTGGAAAGTCACTCATTGACATTTCCTCCTCGTTCAGCGTCGCCTCTTCTTGCGAGACTTGGACGTTTTTGGCGGCGGCTAACATTCCATTCAACACGGTGAGGATTTGCCGGAAAAGGGGGTGACCTCGAGAGGGGAACGAGGAAATTTGGAGATGGTCCATGTCGACTTGGAAGAACTGTTCGTTATGCATGTTGAGCCGTGCGAGTGGCTCCGTACACACCTATTACATATAGAAGGGTTAGTTCGCTGATGACAGGACGGTAGCAGACCAAGGTTAAGACAGACCACCGACGACTCGGAAGGCCGGAGCCTGTGGGTTTTGTATGTCGACTTGCGGGTTTCGCAGTAGCTCCAGATCGGGAACTGGATGTCGAGCTGCCTGAACTTCTCGAGAGTATCTTTCAAGATACTCCATTTGTCCCACCCCTTTAAATACGCGTTGAGTTCTGGCCCAAGCTTGATGAGAGGGATGCGCATCTCGAGGGCTGCACACCTAATGCAGGCCGTCTCGAAAGCCGCAGGGGTATGGTTGTGGATGCAGCCGAAGAAGAGCACACCGATGGTGCTGTCGAAAATGGAACTGAACTCAGGACTTTGTTTGGCGGAGATGAGCGCCTTTCAACGATTAGTCACATGTGAGAATCCGGTTAAGGGGTCGATGAAGTGGCCTGACCTGCTTGAGCACCATGCCACCAAAACTGTGGCAAAGAAATACGAGTGGGCGGTTCATTTCCTTCGCGCGTGACCGCTGGTGGATGAGCCCATACAATAGCGTGGTGCCCTCACGAAGGATTTGGAGCCAAGAATCATCAGTCGGCGACTTTGCAAAGTCGTAGCGGAAAAGGAGAACCCGAGCAGTCGGGAAGTGGTGAGCAAACACGTCCCGGATCCATGCTGTCTCATCTCGGGGTTGGTAGGATGGTAAAAGCTGCGGCAGGCTTGGAATCGACACGATGCTATCGAAGGTGTCAGAAATGAAAACGTGCGGGCATTTTGAACGTGCCATGAGACTCATGACATGTTTGCAAGGCGAGAAAGGTTTACGGACTCGACTGATGGATTCTGCACACCATTGCAGATGATTTTAAGACTACCCGAATCCATATCTGTCATTTCCCAGGCGGGCAGGCCCTTGCCGCAAAGGTCTCGAGATCGACGTCGGAAAGCGTGGCGCTGTCGGCTCGTGAGCTTGGGCGCAGAGATGACGATGACAGACACCAGAGGAGGGGTGCTGGGGGAGGAACATGAGTGCACCCGAAGGAGCGGGGCAGTTCCAGGGACTAGAACGGTCCCGATATGTTGTGCAACATGCAACTGGTTTGGCAGCAGCCAGTACCCGGCTGCCCTTTTGGTACCGTAATGCATCCATGATCGAAGCCATCGGCACTAGCCCAATTCATCGCAACCAGAAAACATGTCAGGCTTAAACCACAGGAGGGTTTATTATCTCCCCTGAGAATAGTGCACTCTCGCGCGGTTGGCTCCGGCCAGGGTCCAGCAGCTTTAAGCAGGCTAGGTGAGAGGTAAATTCTGCAGTTCCGTCACGTGTATTTACCTAGTCTATATTCCTCTCCCGCGGAAAAGAGCCACGATTAGATGGCCGTGGCAGTTTTTGAAGTGATTTTGAGAAGTTGCTGAATCTCCGAATGGTTGAAGGTTGCGAACAATGACTTAATAATTAAGTCACAAGAGGTCGGGGTCGAAAACAAGCCAGTGAAATGAACATCGCACAAAGGTCTCAGGCTGCGGTTAACCTAGCGATACAGGGAGAAGAAAAGGCCTTTAGGTTCATGATTCTTGACGCAAACCCGAAATCCTGAGGCTCTCAAGAATTCCCGATTTTTACCTACCAAAACCACTGTGCAATGGTGCATGCAAAGCTCCACCAGATACGCTCATTTACCCTCCCCAAATCCAAGTTCAACACCAACGGCTAACTCCTAGCTCTTCCCTCGAAACTACCTACGACGGGGTATCATATTTGCTTGTCGTGCCCGTAGTTGCAGGAAATCGGGAGAACGGATTCGCCGAGGCCGCGACTATCCGGGGTTGGGGTTGGGGAGGCGTGGCACGTCGGACGTAAGTTGTGCTTTTACCGTTGACGCCCTCCTGCCCGTCAACAGTTACTCAAGTTTCACTGAAGATTCACAACAACGCAGCCAATCTTGGGTAACTAACGCCACTGAACGGTTTCATGGCCTCACTGATGAGATGGGCGGGAGGCCTCCTGCGCCGAGCCCCGCAAGCGCCTTTTCGATTTCCGACCACGGGTTTCGAGGTTACCCCCGCCGCCCAGCTGCTGGAGGAAGAGATGTTTGACGAGTTCAGATCTGGCGATTTTACCCTGTCAATGACGGTGATCTTTTTGCCTCCGATAAGTACCAGGTCGTTGGCAAGTTGGGATTTGGTTCAACCTCGACCGTGTGGCTGGCCCGGAATCTTCAGTCCGTTTTTCACCTTTTTTTGGGAGGAGACAGTGGCAACGGGAATTTCTCTAATATGTACGGCAGGGAACGCGACTATGTCACTTTGAAGATCTTTGCACGGGGTCATGGAGAGACCTGCAAAAATGAATTCCGCACCTACGAAGTCTTGAGGAAAGCAAACCCCTCCCATCCGGGATACCATTATGTGAGAACTGCTCTTGATACGTTCCCCATTGAACGGCCTGGCGGCGAGCATCAGTGTCTCGTCCAGGAACCTATGTGGGACAGCTGGAAGGACCTGCTCCGGCGAAATCCCTCTGGGCGCTTTTCCGACGTCCTGCTCAAGGGCGGCCTCCAGCATCTTTTCCGTGCTCTGGATTACTTGCATACCCAGTGCAAGTTGGTCCACACCGGTAAGTCACCAAACTCCGTTTCTACTGGTTCAGCTCTCACATGGAACGGTAGACATCAAAGCCGACAACATCTTACACGCCATCGCCGACCCGGAAATCCTCACAAGCTTCGTCGACGGAGAGATGGAGGCCCCCTCGCCGCGCAAAGTGATTAACGGTGACCCGGTCTATATGTCCAGACGCTTTGGCCTCCCCAAAGAATGGGGCAGAATCATTCTTAGCGACTTTTGGTGCGTGGTAGACGGAGATGTCAAGCGCAACCACAACGCCCAGCCGGATGTCTACCGGTCCCCGGAGGTTATGCTCCAGGCCCCATGAAGCTACCCGGCCGACATCTGGAATGTCGGCGCCATGATATGAGACGTATTTCAATGCCGCCATCTATTCTACGGTCAAGACCCGAGCGGCAGGGGCTACGTGACGCGCGCATATCTCACTGAAATTATTGGGTTGCTGGGGCCGCCACCGGTGGATTTACTTAAGCGTGGGGTTCGCAGTAAAGAGTTCTTCTCGGAGGATGGTAAGTACCTATTCTTTGTCTCGGGGCCGGTCCACCGGCCTTCAATGAGCACTGGTTCGACTGACGCCTTTCAAGGTCAATGGATAGCCGATGTTCCAACTCCAGAAGGCAACAGTTTGGAGAAGGCCGAACATTACCTTAAGGGAAAAATAAGGCTATGTTTCTCGAGTTTGTTCGGGGGATGTTGGCATGGCGCCACGAAGACCGCAAGACAGCCGCCGAGCTGCTTAAGGTTCCGTGGCTGAACCAGTGAGAGATTTCGGATTGATGTAATTTGGGAAAGAACACGAACAATACGCTGCCATCCTCCAATTCTTATTCCGCTGGCACAAATCTACCATAGCCCGCCCCGACTAGCTATCCCATCCACAAACACTCGCCCTCATCCACCTCGGCAGTAGCCCCGCGCCACTACATCCCTAACACTGCAACTTTTGTAGCAGCTCCCAAGCGCAAGGTCCACCAAGATAGTAGGGAGAAACCCAATCGCCGTCTGGAGCAGGGGATCCATCTCCCGCTCGCCCGTCAGCCACTCGTGAAGGCGCAGCCACGAGACCCCGACGACGCAGCGGGTACCGATGACGACCAAAATCAAATATGGCTGGCCCGAGACGTGCGGCCAGACAAATATCCGGAGCAGGGCGTTGCATAGTAGAGTGGCGAGGAAGCAGCACCAGGATGCGAGTCGGCGCTCGAAAGGGGTGCAGATCGCCCGCTGGGCTCGAGGGGGATCCGGGGCCGCGGGAACGTTATGGTCGCTGGCGTTATCCATGTGTTCGGTATCTTGTAGGTGGGTGGGATTTGTGGAAATTCGAAAATAGCCAAAGCTAAGGTACGAAGATGATGATGGGGAGGAGAAAGACCCCCAAAAATGAAACGCATTGAGTGTTGTTCCCGTGATACAACGTGGGGGCGGGAAAATGGAACTCGGCCGCTCTCTAACTGCCTACCAACCGACCTACCTAAGGTAGTAGATGCCTTTTTACTGGCCGCAGAGTTAGCCACCGCCTTGCTTGCTACCAACAGCCGCAACCAACAGCCTCACTGTCACCGCCGAACGTTTCGTCTACCGAAAAGGATCGGAATGTGGCCTTTTGAAGGGCACATGGGCAAAATGATCAGCATCATTGCTGTTGCTGAGTGCTCCGCCGCACACAACCAGCCAATCAAGCTTGTACATCACGTTTCTAAAGAAAACATCCGTTCTTTCAGTGCGAATTCCGATTTCCGATTTCCAAACAGGTACTCTATGTTGATCAACCTCATCCCACTTGTCATGTCCATGGCGGGCTGCCTAAACCGAAACTTGGCCATGCACTCGAGAGGCTGTGAGATCGACAGTAACTATATGTAGCCTGTAGGTACATGTACGTGCCAACAGGAAATGCGGCATCGCTGAGGGCCCCGGGGAATCCTAGTTGCCCATTCTGGCGACCATCAAGGCTCAGCAATGATGCTGTCAGCGAGCCCGAGCTATGATTAAGGAGATAGAACGCTTGGCCCCCAAATAGAGGAGCTCGTACGTACATATGTACATGTACCTTCCAGTCCACCAAAAGAATCTTTCAGGACGACTTGATGATTTCTGCCGCCACTATCAGATACTCTCGTTTAGGCAGGATGGGTATTCGCCGTTTCTTTGATTGGATACAATTTACAACAACTTAATTAACTTGTGTCTATCAACTGCCCTCCCCCGAGGTTACAGGCCCAACACTCTCAGATACATCACGTTCATAAATCAAGGGCATTGCCGCATTGAGCCCCCGCTTGACTGCACAGGACCTTCCCCTTTTGCTACTTAGGTAGGTATTAGCTGCCTATTTCGTAACCGTCTTCAGCGGAGGTACGCGTGGGGTGAAGATGTGATCCCAAATAACATTCTTCGGGACCGGACATCTATAGTCGAGGTCCGCAGACCGGAATTCCAGGAGAATAACAACGCCAACTCCATGCGAATGCCTGTCACCAGCCGTCCAAAACTGGTAACTGCATTAGAAATCCATCATAGTATTTTGTTGTTAGCGGACAGAAACCACGTACCCCCAAGGCCGTCTCTGCTGCGCCTCGCCTCGGCACCAACATAAGCAGCGGGGGACTCTACTCATCTCCTTCCACATCTGAGGGGCAGCAACCCTGGACCAACGGGCGTTAAGCCAACCGGTCTTTTGTGCCAGTTCAACCTGTGAGACAACCGGGCTGCAGGATCCCAACATGTGGCCCCCAAAACATCTCCGGGATCTGGAGTCAAAAATCCCAGCTGAGGTAGTGGGCGGGTGGAAGAACCAACTTCTATAAGAGGAGGGCTCTCCGGGGCGTTTTGTTGCTGACGGTATCCAGCCAAGTCACCATCGCACCCAAACCAAACGATATTCAAGCGGCTCGGAGTCTCGACAGCATCTAGTGCCTGCTCAACCTTCTTCATTAGCCATGCATCCCAAACTCCATTCTATTGCCACATCCCTTTTACTGGCCACTCAGGCCCAGGCTTTCCGCGTCACTTTCTACCTGGGTTCCCAGTGCCGCGGCGCTCGGCTGGGCACTGGATCCTACTCTTACCCAGGGTATCCTAATGCCTGCCACAACGTCCCTCCCAATGCAATCTCGGCGACCATCGAGCCGGAGTATCTCGATGGAGAATCCAATAGTGAGTTCCACCCCCTGAGCAGATCTTCTCGTTTGGCCTGGCCTTATAAAAAGCGTCACCGTGAACGTGGACGTGGCTAACCTTTGGGCCTGATAACATTTCAGACGTTGCTTTTTGGAAGTCATGCAGCCAGGATCTCATAGCCAGCGGCGATGACAATTGCCTCAACTTCCCCAAAGCGACAAGGTTCTCCATCCGTGAAGATTGGACCGTCCCTGGCAAGCGGAGCGTCCCTTCCGCCGCTACTACCTCCACAACAGAGAGTGAAAAGGCCATCGCGCCCCTAGCCCAGAAGACGCGTGCTCGCGGTCGTTCCCGCACTGCCGCCCACGCCCCATGGGCCGCCGAGCAGGCGCGGCATCGCCAGCGTCTCAACGTGTCGGAGGCTGCCGCGCTCGGCTCGCTCTCGCCGTACTTCGACCCGGCCATCATGGCGGAGGGCGGGTTCGGGCACGGCAACGTGTCCGAGGCCTTTGGCGACACGGTGCGCTGGCAGCAGGTGGCCCTGGGCATCTCCGTGGGTGTGCCTATCCACGAGTGGGACGATGCCGTCCACGTCAAGAGCGACGCTTTTGTCCCCTACGGCGACGTCCACTCTCGCGGGCTCGAAGCGCGCGATGACGGGTGCGGCGGTGCTGCTGCCCCCGACGAGGAGGGCGTCTGTCATTCTCACTGGGCGTTGGCGGAGAGGTCGGAGCACGAGAAGAGATGGGATTATGCTCGCTGTCGGTCGCTCTTGACGTGTGTGCGAGACACCGTCGGCGGGGCGCCGCTGCGGCTCGCTGACGGATGGGCGCAGGGAGTTGAGTGCGCCAACCGGATCAAAGCGGCAGGCTCAACGCTCTACGACTATGTGAAGCGGTACCCGGTGACTTGCGAGGTCGTGAAGCTCGGCGCGGGGGGCCGTGATCGGTTACGGGTTCGCTCAGATCGGTTCCGGTGGAGGGTGCTACGGCTCAAGACACCGACGAGCTAGCCAAGGTGCTCCACCAATCCCCAAGTCAAATGCTTTTGTGGACAGCATACTCGAGGCGCCCAATGCTGGCGACGAAAATGCGCCCCGGTCGGATATTACCCTGGCCAATGCCCACATTCTTGTCTTGTACGGACGTGTCTTTCCTAGAGATGCGCCGCCGCCGACCGATCTCTGCCCTGCTTAGGCGAGGAATTGACATGATTGGTGGGCCACGTTCTGGCCATGAGATAAGCACATCAGAAAAGCTCTATGTTGAGACCCGGATGGGGTTTTCGCGCGGGGGGGGGGGGGAGGAGGACCAGTTGAGAATAGGTGGTGGTTGGATATGTAGGATTGAAATCATTGACATTCATGCTTCTCTTTCTGCCATTAACACGGGATGACGTCCGGAGGGAAACTATCGTAACGAGTGACGCTTCTCTTGTTCTCACCCCACCACACTCAGGTGCACAATGTCTCCCCCTTCTCAGGGGTCAAATGCGTATCTCCCAGTACTGACCTTGGTGGGAAAGCCGACTTGTTCCAATGCCTGCCTCGCGAGATCAATGAGCATTAGATCGCTTCCTATTAGTTATACCATGTCAGTAAAGCCCATGCCGTGTAAGCCACCGGGGCCACATGGAACTCACCCTCTGCACCAGCAATGGAAGAAGCTACGGGAAAGCTTTCTGTCCTTCCCGAAACGCGGGAGTCGTAGTCCACCTGGCCGACTGGGGAGGGCGTTAATACTCGTTCTTGAAAGGGGGTGGTCTTGGGACGTACTTGGCACTACGAGTTGGGGCATCCTCATGAAGGATGCAAGACTGAGCGCATCGATGCCAAGTCTTGGGCCGGGCAGGGAGTAGACATCACGATAGTCGGGCTGCGTTGGCCCGACAGGCAGAATGAGTATGGCCGTTGAACCCGACGTCTCATCCGCGCCAAGGACTTCTTCGGAGAACCAAGAATGAAGGACCTTCAGCTCCTCGTGTGACCTTTCCACCTCCGGTTTGGGTATTTCGGCACCGCGGTCCCTGTGTCAAGTCAGAGTCCCCGCTTGTGGTTCAGGGTGATTTAGGCACGACATACCACCTCCATTGCATGCTGGGTGAGACGTAGGCCTTCGTCCCAAATTTCTTGAGATGGTCCTCCCGGAAGCCATCGTACTCGTGGTAGATGTCGTAGTAAAACGGATTATATCCAGACTGAATCGGCCCTCAGAGTTTAGCACCATACAGCAAGGTAAATTGGAGGACAGGGGGACGTACCGTGTAGGCATAATCTTCCAGAGACTTGCCTTCCGCTTCCGCGGGTGGGCTCTGAGCCCATGTCTCAGCGAGGCTAAAGCTAGTCTTCTTGACGCCGAGAAAGCTTTCAAGAATTTCGACGAAACTCTCTACCATTTTCTGCTGAGCGGGTTCCTGGACAGGAAAGAACTCGGTGGGATAGAGAATTTTGGTGGGAAACTTGGACATGTTAGGAGAGAGAGACATGGTAAGGGGACGTAGTTGGGTTCCTACGCACTGTCTTGTATTGTTTTGTCGTGGAACTGAGTGCGGCTTTGGCAAAGATCTGGAGGTCACTCAAGCTCCGACTGAAGGCACCTACTGTATCGAAAACACTTCAGAAAGTTAGCAACATGTACGCACGCAACTTGCACGCGGAACTTACGGGGAGCAGGGATACAAGCCCGTGGTCGGGCCCCAGCCACCTGTTGAACACCTGATCCCATAGACACCACATCTTGCGGCGGGCTCTCTCACACTTCCATTTGCTGGCAAGGTTGTAAGCAGGTGTCATTTAGAGGGGAGTCCAAACGCATACTGTCGGTGCCAATGCAAATATCTACCCATTGGTATGCGGCGGTTGCCGCGGCCGACCCGGTGGAGCTCGCACCGGGTTCAAGATAGGCGTCGCCGCGGGGGTTGAACGGACATTGGAAGTCAAACCAGTCAATCGGTTTTTCTCCACTAGCAAAGGCAGTCATCTTGGTTTTGCCGACAATAATGGCACCGAAATCAATAAGCCTTTTTACGAACGCGGCTGTTTCCTCGTCCTGGTCGTAAGTGTTCAGAAACGCGCGGTTTCCCACAGCGCTCTTGGTACCAGCGAGCCTGAAGTTGTCCTTGATGCCAATCCTAACGCCAGCCAGCGGCTTGGCCGGAGAGGGGCAATAATAGAGTCGACTGGGAACAGCGACAGACATTCCGGAACCGTTCGGGCCAATGGAATTGAGATTCTTGAACCTACTTCGTATCAGTACCTGATGCGTCCCACCCCAGTCGGCTGTTCAACCCACCGATAACGATGCTTTGTTGGCAGCACGGTAGTTTCGAAGCATGAGGACGAATCTGTATGGATCTTCCAAGCGTGAAATACCCCTTCTCCCCTGAGGAAGTACGGCCCACTGGGGATGTTTGTCTGTGAAGCTGGAGTGTCTACGTTGTAAACAAAGTTGAGATGCCAAGGTTTTTGGCCCAGCACTACTTCGTCGGCCAACTCGGTGCGCAACAGCATGGTCTGCTCGGAAGAGGAACAGGCATCTGCGACAAGTAGGGTGTCGGACAGGAAGGCTTCATTGCAGACGTCGTCTTCCTTGTGGATCCGCCGGATGCGTTCCAGAACTTCATTGGGCTCGAGGCTGCAGTCTGAAGCAGAGATGAGAAAGACGGGCTGGGGAGGGCGTGTTTGGGCATTGACAGGTCTACGGATTCGCTGCAAAATGAACGAAAGTCAGGCTTGTTTACCGGCTACGAAGAACGGAGCGGGGTAGGACGGACCAAACCTGAATACACAAGTGCATATCGATCTTCTCCAACCGTTACAATCATGATGGCGATATGCGGAGCCAGATGCGGCACGGGGGCAATGGGAAAGTCAAGGTCGCGCTGTATGAAAACAGTGATAATCGAGGAGAAGCTGGGGAAGAAGGACGCGCCGAGACATGGAGGCGTGGGAAACCGGCCCTGGCCGTCCTGTTGTGTAACAGTCCAAGCTCAGCGGCAACGCGGCCTCGATATCCTGAGAGCCTGACTTTACTGGCTCACAAACTGCAGTCTGCCACTGGTCTGACGATTTAGGCCTGGCTGCGTTGTGCATGTTCCAAATGGGGAAAAGCTCAAGCCCTCCGTGCCTTTCCGAACAATCCGTAAAAATCCAAGCCACCCGTTGCAGTACCTACAAAGTACCAAGGTAATTTACGAGGTTGGAAGGCATGAATAAAAACAAACAAAAAGGTGATACCTGTAATTGCACCTGCTGACTTCCAGCTGAGTTCCAAGTATTCTAGTGCCACCCACACCAAATTGGCCCATATCAGCCAAGTCGAATCAGCGGTTGCCTTGCATCTCGCAGCCGCTGATATGCCCAAAGCTCGAATGACACATTGGCCAATAATAGCCCACATCGACCTCCCGACAAGGGTCTTGCGCGCCCCTGATGGCAAAAACTCCACCATCCCGAGAACAAATAGCGGCGCACTGCGTCAGGTTCATGGCGCTTGACGAGTAATCGTTCGCCTTTTTCGGAATGTCTTCATTCCCGCCCAGATCTGCGGGCGGCGCATGGCCTTCGATTTCCGAGCAACCCTGGTCCCAACAATCAACGGTTGTTCCTGAATCCCGAATCCTGGATGCTGACCCACAGCCACGGTTCTGGTCTGTCGCGCGGATATCCCCGCGTATTCACACACGTCTCTTCTCTTTTCTCTCCCATTCTGACCATCTCCATGATTATTGTTATTCTCCCAGTGCGTTCCAGAAGCCTTGAGGGTCGACAATCCGCGCCGGAAAGCCAGGGAACCACACAGAGAACAAGTCCAATCCATTCGCTAGTCCGACTGTTCGAGGCATCCCGTCTTCCTCCCATTGCGCACATGGCTGGTGAACTTGCTGCATAAAATTAACCTGTTTAATCGGTTCCAGGACGCGGCGGCACACACCATGTCCCGTCGAGATCTTCCAACTTTGAACGAACATGTCCTTCATCGCCAACCAAGGCTCTCGCGGTTGGTTAGGCGGCGTGAATTGCCTGAGAAGGTTGTTGGGCTGTGGGCGGGGAGAGTTCGTGGATATGAACTTAAGGAACAAATAAAGAGCGGGGCCCCATTCAGTCCACAATTGTACCCAGTCCACCAGCTGGAGACGAAGAACACTGGGATGACCCAGAGGCATATCGATAATCGACGGAGTGCCGTGGCTGAGCTTTCCGATGACGCACCAGGGCCGATTGGACTCCCGTCGTCCTGTTATGGAGAAGTGGCGAGATACTCCACTGCCTCAAGCTCAACTACGCTTCTCAAGTCGAATTCCTGGGGACAACCGAGATTATCGACAGACGGCCGCCAAAGCTCGGAATGGGAGATGGAAACACTGTTGGATCAAAGCAGCGCCGGTCTGGATGACATGGCCTCATACTCTTGTCCGTTTAGGAAACGGAACCCGGCCCGATTCAACATTCGTGACCATGAAACTTGCGCCCGGGCCCCCTTTGATTCGATCCGCGGGTTGAAGTGAGAACGCACAATAGTTCTGTTAGTCTGGTTAATTGCTGACAGTTAGAACGCAGACACCATATCGTTACATGCCACGGAAAGGAGCCGAGTCTAACCCAGCACCAATGTCGACGCTGCAAGCAACAGTTCGAGACGGAAACCGCACTCGAAGAGCACTTGTTGTTACCAAGAGACCAGATTTGTGAAGTGACGGAGGCAACTCCGGTTGATTATGAAAATGGGATAACGGAGGGAATGGCAAGGAACTTGCTCTACGGAAAAGCCGACAGTGACTCCACCTCGACTTGGGACGGAGTCTGGACTCTTCTCTTTCCCGACGACCTCGAAGTACCAGACTCAGGTATGCCCGCTATCAACCGAGAGTGCTAGAGTTCCTGAACTGACAATTTCCAGACTTTACCCCAGTGACCGAACAGGTCGAAGTGGAGCAAGCCTTTGATGAAGGGCAAGATATGCTGAAGGAAAGTCTGCGAGAAAAGCTTCAACTCCTGCTTCCCGAGGCTCTCAATACAGACTACCTCAGCTTCCTTACAGGCCAGCTTGAGCTGGTCTTCGAGACACACAAAGTCAACATGATGAAACAGTCCCTCGGCCGCTGTAGCTCAACAGTAAGCGGAGCGCAACCGTCTAGGACGCAAAAAGCTGAGCAACCAAGCCCGCCGAGAAAACCGAACCGTCGATCGCGGCGAAGCACAATCCTCCAAAACATCCACCGCAACAGCACACAAGACCCAACCCTTGGCCCCGCCTGCCGCCGAGCCTCCCACATGAGCAGTATCAACGGCAACAACAAACGCGCAAGCCGCCCCTTCAGCGAGCAGTCCTTTCTATGCCGGGCCGACCTCCAACTACCCACGACGGTGACAGCGGAAACTCACACAACCGCCGCCACCACACCACCCCCCATGGAACAACGCCACCACCCCGCGGCTCGTCCTAGTACCCACGACAATACCGGCATCAACGCCCTAAGCAACCCGCGCGACTCGCGCGACTCGGGCATCAGCATGCCGTGCGACGCGTGCGCTCTCGAACCATGCGCCTGTGTAGATCACCACCAGCAGATCAAAGGGGATGTTGAACCCGCTGATGGTTGTAACAACGACGATGGCAAATGGGAGGAGGAACATCATGATCCTCCTCCTCGCCGCGCCTCTCCAGGCGGCCGCCCAGCCTTCCCCCGGCGGAGCCGGTTGAGTATTCAGACGGCGGATTTGCATCTGCGGGGACGGAGTTGGGGGCTGGGGGGTTGGGAGGGGGATGGTGATGGGGATGGGGATGGGGATGGGGAAGGGCACGCAGGGGCGGCGGGAGTTGAGAAGGAGGGTGAGAGTGGTGGTGGGGATGGAGGCGGGTTTTCGCCAGAGTCGTTTAAGCAGCGGTTGTTGAGGGGGCGGTTGATGGGGGTTTAGTTTGTTTACATTGCATTGTATGTACATATGGAGGGATTGTGAGGGAAAGGGGGTGTGTGCGTTAGTTGCATAATTGCATTGCGGGTCGGCAAAGGGGCTGGTGTTTGTTGTTTGTCGTTGGATGTGGTGTGGCTGTACAATGATGGGGTCTGGCAATAAGTGAACGGGGCGTTAATGATAATAATACGGAGGTGCTGACGGGAAATTTGTAGTGATAGGTTCTTTGGTCTTCGACGGTGGGAAAGTTACGTGTAGAGTGTTTTGTTTGAGCGCGTTTGGGCAGGCATCTCTAGGGAAGAAGGCCACTTTGAAGTGTACGTACCTTAATTATGTACGTACCTTAATTACCGTCCCAATCCGCCAACGCAAATGATTGAGAAAGTGATATACCTCAGATTGAACACTCCTATACTTTCTCTTATTTTGCCTGGAGGAACGTACGAGGAACGAGTATACTTCCGAAAGGTTCCTTAGGTGGGAAATCCCATGGCATGCTCTAAGCACGAACCAGTTTTTCCCGCAAAAGTTTCTTTTCTCCAGTTTTTTTCCAGTTTTTTTTCCACTAAAAGAACGGTGTCATTTCTAACCTGTACTGTCGACTTCTCACTGTAGAATTTTGGCTTTTTGCTCCTTTTCGACTTCTCTCGATAGCATCTCGAAGTCTGGCGTCATCTGCATTTTGCTTCCTCGAATTGGCATCTCGCAGTTGGTCTTGGCGGTGGAGGTGCACGGACCATTTAATGCTTTGACACCTGGCCAATCGGATCGCCGGAGAAAAACCGCTAACCCGCACTTGGCATCAGGGCCCCTGTGACTCGCTGCTTCGCTCCTGCTTTTGCATGCCTCCGTCGCGCATTCCTTGACAATCACGAACACGAACAAAAAAATCGGATTTCTGTCAAAAAGTGGCGAAAGATGAGGTTTGCAGGGTCAACATCTATTATGGGTTGACTATACTACTAGAGCGACGCACCCGCTTCTTCGTCAGCAGCTTCAGTCTGCGCTGATTCGGCCATGACGTCCCATGCCTGGAACCACGACTACAGAGAACGTCAACATTGCCAAGATTGCCTGGCTCAGCAGGAAGGATACAAGCAAGGCCTACGGCTCGATAGTCGTTTACGTGACGAAGGGTAGCGAAGCAAATTGCTTCTTTGACGCACAAAATACACGGAACCTATCAGCTCTGTGAGATTACGCCACAGAGGTTAATCTTTACGGGATCTGATTACTGAAGCCCCTAGATGACGATATAGCTTACTGGAGACTCAAGAATGCCGCGTCATACATCGGCGATGAGGTCAAATCGGTGCTAGAGGCCACCTTTTTTACACCGCGGTGCTCCATTTTCCCAATCCAAGGAACTCGATACGTTCTTTCCATCCCGATTTTCTGACCTAAACTACAATCATCTCCTGATGCTGTTTATAATTCCATTGCAGTCAAGATGGCTTCTTCTTCCGCCTTTAACAATTACATCGTTGACTCCGCTATGGGGCCTACCTGCAGCCGGCAAGTTCCTCCAGGCTCCTTTGGCGTGCCCGCGCGCAGCGGGCATGGTCACTCCTGTGTTCCACCCCACAACAAGCGGGCCCCACAATCACGCCTGACTCTCCGCCAAAGCTTTTGCACATTCATAATTATGACTCAATCACTCACTTCCAGCAAATCGCAAGGGAGCTTGGCTCAGTTGGAAGAGCGCAGGTCTCATACCCTTGTATGATTCGGTGTGAACATCGAAACAATCCTGAGGTCGTGAGTTCGAGCCTCACAGTTCCCAATTGCTTTTGCTCTTTCCTTTTTGCTCTTTTGGCTCTGAGTGCCAATTTTCTTTTCGCGCGCAGTCATCAAGCCCACGCAGTTTTAAAATGTCGACCTTTCCACCCGTTGATAGGGCGATTGCCGCACCGGCATCTCGGTTTATTGGAGATGATGAACCGAGGCGCGCATCAAGGATGCTTCTGCAGGTTCTTGCCGACGACGAGCACGACAAAAGCCACGATTATCGCTATTCTTGGGGCTACACCATCTTCCGTACCGTCTACACCCCAGGCTCCGACGAGGCCTTTCCGCAGGCGATAGAGCGGCTGGCCATCTACGCCAAAGCCTACGTCAACGATGACATTGCCCTCAAGCGCCGCCCAAACCAAGAACCCCGAGATCCTCTGCCGAATCGGGAGCTTTGGGGTCGCTATTACAATCAAGTCATCGAAGATGAAGACACACTAGCCCACGCTACTGTGGAAGACGTAGGCAGACGCTTCGACGTCTGGATCAGCGAGCACCTGAACCTGGACGCCCTCCCACGACGCAAGACATCCAACGCGCGATTTTGTTACTGCCTGATGCTCGATCAGGAGAGTGTCGACAACATCCTAACTTCGCCAGAGGAGCCCTTCGGCTTTTCCCGGTCCGATAGCCGACACCAGCCTGGTTGGGTCAAAGTCGTCACGGCCGAGCAACAACCCGGAAGGCGGCAGGGGTGTGGGTTGCGGGTCGGGATTCGTACCATGTTATGGGCATTGTGGTTCGGGTCGCAAGACCCTGACTTCATTCTCGAAGAGCAACCGGGGGTCGACGGGGGCGATGGGGGTCATGACGTTCATGGACACTTATAGGGAATGACTACTACCCTTGGGGCGACTTTCTAGATATACATCAATGGAGGAGCGTCGGTTCCTGTTATCTCCAAGCGAAAGCCATTCCTCATCTCTTTCCTATTTTTTCCTTTCAGGTTAGATCCCAATACCGCTTTAGACCAGGATTACCTTCTGCCTTCCCCCAGTCCCCTCACCCTCAATCCAACCCGACTCGTACTCTCACGAACTCGCCCATCCTCAACTGAACTTCCCACTAACAATCCAGTCTCAAACACCGGCAGATCCGCCACAAAACTCCTTTTCCAACCAGCTCTGTAACCCGGTCGCAACTCCTGGCGTATGCAATTAACCAATTCACACCATACGCGTATAGCCTACCTGGCGTGCGTCCACATCCTCGCGCTGAACTGCGGAATTGGAACTGTACCCCCCAACGCCCCCAACGCCCCCAACGCCCATCGTTCCCAAGTCATTATTGCCCTTGTACCGCAGCCCTCATATGATTGGCTTTTAGACCGGCCGATTCAAGCGACAGCTAGCTGGAATCTACGTTATAGGATACAACCCTTCGGTGCAAGCCCAATGGCTTTGTCCCCAAACCGATACAGGCCCATGAGAAACCGATCATGGTCCGCCAACAGCCCTCGAAAGCAGCTGGACTCATGGGAGAAGGTGCAGTTAGTAATCACAGGAGATAAAGTAATCGACACTCGCTCGCGAAGCTAAGATTTCATGTCAGCACTAGGGCACGGTGATACACAATCTGACAATCATCTAATTTCGTGACGTGCCATTGGACCCATCAGTCGCGCTCTCCCCTGTTTGAGCAGTCAGCCCACGGCTTCCACCTCACAACGAGTCTCAATCCTACAGGCTACAACTACCATTGAAGTCGTGGATTGGCAAACCCAAGGTGCCTAGGTAGTTGCCCTGTTGGCTCCCAAGTCGTTAACATAACCCGGAAATGGGGCTGACCGAAGCTCTGTTCGAGGCTCCGCTGCAGCGGCTCGCGGGCCGCTTTGTCCCCGGACCATTGCCCCCGGCCGGCACCTTTGACGGGCAGACAGTCCTCATCGTCGGAGCCACCTCCGGCCTCGGCCGAGCCGCCGCCGTGCACTTTGCGACCCTTGGCGCCAACATCATCATCACATCTCGCGTTGCGTCTCGTGCTGATGCCGCAAAACGGCACATCGAAGAGGCCGCGGGGCCTTCTCGTAAAGGGACCATCTCGTGTCTAGAGCTAGACCTGGAACGCTACGGCTCGTGCACCAGTTTCATGGCCAAGCTCAAGAGCAACCTCCCCGGCCCTGCCGCCCTGGACGTCGCTATTGTAAACGGCGGCATCGTCAATTCTCACTGGGAGCAGAGTTCACACGGATGGTAGGCCGCCTGTTTTCCTTACCGACTCTTCGGCATCCCCCTCGGAGATACCTGGATCCGAAGTCTGGCCTATCTAACATGCGATCCGGCCAGGGAGAAAACAATTCAAATCAACACCATCGGCACGACACTCATGGGCCTGCTCCTGCTGGGGTGGATGCGCGGAGCCCGGGACCAACGGGCGTCACCGGCCCATCTCGTCTTCGTCAGCTCGCGCGAGTGTTTCGATCCCGACATCGACCAACTAGCCAAGTGGTCGCAACAGAGGGGCGGGATTCTGCGACAGGTGTCCAGCAAGGAAAACTGGCCGAGCCATTGGTGGGATGCGGAACCCAACTACGCCATCAGCAAGATGCTGCTCGTGTTTGCCATTGAAGAGATTAGCAAACTGGCCAGGGGGCCGGATGGAGAGTAAGTCATGTCAATTCAATCCCAAACGCACTGCAGACCATTCCTCGAGCTCGGCACTAACGTTTCATCCTCCTAACCAGCCCTCTCGTCATCGTCAACCACCTGTGTCCCGGCATGGTCAAAACCGACATCGGCCAACACATTGCCTCGAGATCGTGGTTTCATGCGCTGTGTACTTGGATAGTCCTGCTCATAACCGCCAAATCATCCGACTCGGGGGCCAGGATCCTCGTCATGGCCGCCCAGAAGTCAAAGGAGACTCATGTGCGTGATGGCTTTCCTATGCAGTGGACTAACATACTGACCATGGGCTACGACAGGGGGAGTATTTGAATTTCTACTTGTCGTCCGAACAGTGCCGCCGGTAAGTCATGGCCCCTGACGGCCTTGTTGACCAAAGGAAACCTCACAGAACGGATTGCTAACAACGCATGCTCGGCAATAGTAAATCGGTCAAGTTCTTGGGCGGGGAGAAGGCGAGGACGCTGCAGAAGTTGACGTGGAAGGAGATCAGGGATGAGTTGAAGCGCAATGTGCCTGGGGTTCAGACTGGTTGGACGAG